CTGATTAAGTATAAATGATGTAAATAAGATAGAAGGGAGGATAGAATTGGTATAAGGCTATTTTCCTTACATCTTATTGCAAGAGTTAAACACCAAATAAACAATATATCAAATAATAGAGGTTATAAAGGTAACCACCAGAAATCAATACAATTAACTGAAATTGGAAAGTACAGATGATGGAAAGAAGAAAGGAAAGTAGAATATATTAATTTCATCATTGTTCATAGTAGAGAGTCAATCAATAGAAATTTAAGTGCATTGTACCTCACAGCTATTAATGTAATTACTAAAATGAATGTATAGGCCATTCAATTATTAAAATATGTATAAACAGAGATTTTAGAATAAAAGATTGAGGCAAAAATAGTAAAAATTAAAAGCATTACCTAAAATATGATACCAGAACCAAAATCAAATATGGTTTCCTGTCAGTAAATATTGACGGGCTGAAATCATAAATTGAAGGCAATCATTCTCTTACTTAATCATAAAGTAAATGTTATGCATTCGAAGGAAAGTTCAGCAAGGCTTTGTTGGAACCCGTGAGCCAAGTTGCTTGTCCAGGAAGTCCCTTGTTTACCAGAAGTAGGTTTCTCTTAGGATCCCTGCTGCCTCCAATCTTTGGCTGGGGGCAGCTCATGGGAAGTCTCCCCTGGCACATGTATACTCAGTGTCAGATTTCAGAGTATAGATCCTGGGTCCTTGGTCAATTATGTCTCCCAGTTAGAGGTCTAGGAGGCCCATTCTTTCTGTGCCATAAAGAAGCATGGTTTCAGAGACCAAAATAAAAACAAAAGCAAAAACAAGATGCCAAAATACTATTCAAACCTATGCAACTAACTCGAATAAACTTCCTGAAACCATGGATGATTTCCTGAGTATGTGATGGTCTCTCTTCAAAAATGCCATGGTGCTTTGTTATCCCATTGTGGCATGTTTCACACTTATTGTAAATGTTTTTAATGTATGTGAGTGAATACTATTATGCTTTATATAATATAAATTACACAAATTATATTTGCCATTCATCCATAAAATCATAACAGATAAATAGCCAGAATGGGCAAACATTCAGAAATGTTTATGGAGCTTTGGTTTTATGGGGATGGCAGAAGTTCATGTTTATTCCAGCTTTTTGTCATATTCCTTGATCCTTCACTCTGAGTGATTCCTTCACCAGTGTTACATGGGAAAAAATTTTAAACTTGGAAAAAATTATCAGAAATCATTAGAAATGGAATGTCACAAAAGTAATGCTGTAAAAAATATTCTAGAAAATTGCTTACTTTGTTATCTTTAAAAGCAGCAAAATATACTTCAACATAGGATGAAACATTCAACCAATATGACAAGTCAGAGAAAGGCAAATTGTGTTTTAAGTATTGTGGATAGATAAATGTTTGTGTAACGCTTGTTCTACTAAGCTACTACAGAATGGGGTAGAAACACACTACATATGCTGGGGATTATGTGTACTATGTTTGTTAATTGTGATTATTGCTAGAGCAGATACTGCAGCCAAAATAATAATAACAATAGTAATAAAGTAGTAGTTTACGACAAAGGACAAAATCAAATGAGGATATTCATATGTTATAGCAATATTAAATAGAAATCAAAGTTTAGTACAGTCTGCATGGCTTCTGAATGAGCCTAAGTTTAAGCTCCCAAATCTTGATTGCTTGACACAGTCTCCCATGAATGAATTCTCAGGAGAGTTCTTAAACAACAAATCTAATTTTAGTGTTAAGAGTGGCCCTCAGTATTTAAATCTTCATGGTGCTCATAACTGATCACTATCTCTGGAGGAAGTTGTAACCTTTTCTTGCACATGCTCCCTTTATATGTGGAGGCCTTGCTGTTTTCACACACATTCGGGCTTCATGGTGTTTGCTACCTTATCTCCTGTGGGGCTAACATTAACAACTTCCATATGCATGAACTCCATAGTCATCAAATGATGCTTCAGAGGCTCCAGGATCTAATCTAAGATAGATCATTTGTCTCTGCTATTAATGCAGTATAATTGGGTATCCTAATTTGTTTTCCTAATTTTGTTTTTCTCATCTTTCCACTCTGGCCAATGGCATCCTTAAAGTGAGTGGTCATAGGCAAGTATCTAAATACTACGTAAGTGGGTATGGTAGTTCAAAGTCCTCAAACTTAGAGATCAGCTGAAGGTCTGCTTGCCAAGTTGTGCTTTTAGCATATTTAAAACACCAGTGTTGCAGTATATTGTCCCGGATTAACAACCACCTGATTAATTTTTTCATTTCTTCTGAGAGCGGCTTAGTCATAGGGGTGATTTATGGCACTACATCTGCAACTTCGATGAATCTGATCATACCTAGGCTTTCATTTTTAATCAAATTGCTTTTCATTGTTCAGAAAGCTCTTGGGTGGGTAGAAACAAGAGTTCATGTGGTTTTTTTTTTTTTTTAGAAATGGCTAATGATTCTCAGAGGCTTTGTGTAGGTTAGCTGGGTGGACATAAATCAGTAGAAAATCAGTCTTGCATTTACATAGATGACAGAGTAATTTGTAAATAAAAATATCTTATTTATACTGGTGTAATTATATACCACATGCATACATTACCTTTTACAAAATTAAATAATTCATTTAAAATTTTTATGTATGTTGAAACATACCTCAGAAGCATTTTTACATGATTTGGTTTTAATTTTATAATGGTTTTAGATTTATTGAAAAATTGCAAAGGTAATACCAGGAGCTTCAAAATATCCTGTACTCAATTTTCCCCATTTTTAATATCTTATATAGTTTGGCACATATATCACAACTAATGAACTAATGTTAATATACTATTACTCATGTAAATCTATACTTGATTCAGACTTTCTTTGTTACTACCTACTGTCCTTTTTTTCTTCCAAGATAACATTTATATAGCATTAAATTTATTTGTCATGTCTTTGGAAGCATATTTCAATTATTTTTTAGTTTTTAAATATCTTTTAAAATATAATTATGTGTATAATCTCTCAGAATTGGAAATTAATTATAAATTAATTTTAACATTTGGAAGCTATATTTTAAGTGATAATTTATATAATTTTAAAAATTAATGTTTAATTTTTATTAAAAATATGTAAAAACATGTCATAACATCAAGTAATTAAATACAATCTCAATCACACCAGGCTTTTGGAATATTTAGAAAGCACAAGGTAACAAAAAAAGCTCTGTAGACTCCTACTGCCAAGAAGTAGTAACCTAACATTTCATCATTATTTCTGCCCTGCTTTTATCCAGCTATATATTTCATAACATCTGGTAATCACATTGTTTAGGCAGGTTCTTACCCTGCTTTTTGCTACTTAAAATGTAGATTGTTTACAAAAAGCATTTTCTTGTTGACAAAATATTCTATTTCTATATAAACGCTTATTTAAAAATATATTTTCTTTTTTTGTTTTTTTTTAATGTTTTATTTATTTCTAGGAGAGAGAGAGAGACAGCGTGAGCAGGGGAGGGTCAGAGAGAGAGGGAGATACAGAATCAGAAGCAGGCTCCAAGCTCTGAGCTGGCAGTCAGCACAGAGCCCGATGCGGGCCTCGAACCCACGAACCGCGAGATCATGACCCAAGCGAAAGTCAGACGCTTAACCGACTAAGCCACCCAGGCGCCCCTAAACATATATTTTCTTGGGGTACCTGAATGGCTCAGTCAGTTGAGTATCTGACTCGATTTTGGCTCAGGTTATGAACCCAGGGTCTTGGGATCAAGCCCCATATCAGACTCTGTTCTCAGTGTGGAGCCTGCTTAAGATTCTCTTTCTCCCTCTGTACCTCTCCTCGCTTGCATGCAATCTCTCCCTCTAAACTAAATAATAATAATAGTAATAAAAATTTTAAAAATAAAAATGTTTTTCCTACTGGTAACCATTTAAATCCTTTTCATTATTTTTCTCTTTGTATATCAATTCTAAATGGATTTAAAAAACACATTATTGAGGTATGATTGATATATAAAACACTGTATACATTTAATACATACAATTTGATGATTTTGGAGAAATCATCAACACAGTCTATGTCATAAGCTTATCTATCGCCTCCTAAAGCTTCCTACTACGCTCTTTATTTATTTTTTTAATTTCAGTGAGAAGAACACATAACATTTTTATCTTGTTTCCACATTTCTTCAGGAGCCATTTATTTCTTTACTACTTCACAAACAGAATTTCAGAGAACACCAAAAACACATCTAGTGTATTTAATACTAACTCTTTAATAAGGCTTTAGAATACATTATCTGAGGGGTGCCTGGGGAGCTCAGTCAGTTGAGCATTTGACCCTTAACTTCGGCTCAGGTCATGAGTTCAAGCCCTGCCTGCATTGGGCTCTGTCTACACTTGACAGTATGGAGCCTGCCTGGGATTCTCTCTTTCTCCCTCTCTCTGCTACTGCCCTGCTCACTCTCTCTCTCACAACATATAAACAACCTTTAAAAAAGAATTATAGAATAGATTGTCTCAAATAAATTCCTGTACTAAAGAATGTGACCATATTACATTTTGACAAACGTTGGTTAGTTCCAAAAACCTTGTACCTAAAGGCAATGTGTAAAAGTGTTTTCTCAGTACCCTTTCCAATACTGGACATTTTTCTTAAAAACATATAATAATAATAATAGCTAAATAAACACTGTTCATTTGCATGCTTGAAATTACCATTGCAATGTTTTCAAATATTTCTAGCTGCTGCAATTCCTTCACTTTAAAGTACCCGTTTATATCCTTTACCCAGTTATCTATTGTGACATTGGGATTTATCATACCAATTTGATATGATACTAATTTGAGTTAGTTCGAAATAATTAAATTTTTATCTCATATATATTGTATTTATATTCAAGTAAATCCAGTGGTTTCGACACATAAAGACATGAAATGTTTTCTCAAAGTATGAGTATTTTCATCTGCAGTATCTTCTATTGCTTTAGAGGTGAAAACATACTCAGTATTCACTTACCAATAATAATGATGTTTCATTTATTTTCTTCTGTCTGTTGTAAGGGTCAATATACCACTGTCCCTGAGCTCCTTCAGTTCTTGACAGATATGCCAAGAATATAAGGCTTTGGCCCTTCTTTGCCCATGTTTTTCTCAGGGTTGTATTTGCAGCCAGCAGCCTTGAGTGCTGAGATAACCTATGCCCTCAGACAAAGATCAGGCTTGTCTACTGCAGACTCTAAGAGCAATAAATTCCTTGTGCTCAGTGTTTTTCAGCTAATGAAAGCCCACTGGATACACAGTGTCTACCTGAGCCTCTCCACATAACTCCAGTGGGATTTGGGGATGAGTAAGGTGGACCCAGGCAAATAAGATGCTTTTGCTACTTGTTGTATTCTACCTAATACTCTTTGTCTTTGATCCTGGAATGTTGAGTCTTCTGCCAGCATCCGTGAAACAGCAACAGGCTAACTTGTTAGCTTTCATGTAGGATTAACCCCTAGATTCTGATGACTTTGACAAGAATGAAATGCAGACACAGACGTAACTTTCTGGAACGGGAAGAAGGAGGGCCTGGGTGGGCTGGGTTTGAGGCTGTGAGAAGACTTCCTAGGATTAGTTAAGATATGCTTTTGTTAACGAGATGGGTGAGATGGAAGAATAAGGGCCACCCCCATCCCCACAGCGTCCTACTGGTAATGAGTCTGAGCAACAAGAGGTAAGATTGAAACAAGTTGCCTATGTGGCTCCCTCTTTGGCAGACAGGAAGAGGAGAGGGAATGCTGTCTGACAAGGGGGCACCAAGGGACCCCATAGCTTGAATAAATGCTGCCCACGATGAGAATAAAGAACTTAAATGTAAAGCAACATTAAAAGTTTCTTGAACTTGAGAGAGCAAGAGACCAAAAGCCACCTGACACTAAAAAGACATGCAAAATCTATGCCGTTACCCCTCTCAACCTTCCTCTCTCGTTTTCCTCATCTCATCTACTTTAGGATAAAGACTGAATAAGCTGGAGAACTTAGGGAAGGAGAAGAGCTCAAACGTTTATACCTCCGTTAAATACATGGACTCAAGTCACATTCTATGTGACCTGTTGCAGTGGATGCTAAGAACAAGGGTGGCCAAAGTTCAAGAACTCCAAGGAGGAACCATAGCAGTGGAGGGGTGGGGGAGGGTCTGTAGAAAAGAGTTCCTCGATTTAAGTGTTTACTAGAGCCTGGAAGTACACATGGACAGAAGAAACACTGACCCTGGAGCTAGGGACCACTGATGTCCTCTGGTACCTTATTCCTATACAGTCTAACCTTCCCATCTCTTCACTTCCCATGTTCCAGTGGATGAACAGCATGATCTCCAAGTGCCTGTGGCTATAGCCTCCACCAAATGTGTGTTAACCCCTCCTTGTGTTCTCCAGGAGAAGGGGACCCGGATTTAACAGACCAGGTGTGGGAAAACTGCAGTGAAAAAAGAAAATTAAAGCAATATCCTGAGTGGAGCCTTTGAGGCTATTCACTGTGCTGTCATCGTGGCTTCCACTGTTGCTATGTAAGTGGCATTGCTTGTTCTGTAAATGCTCACGAAGTCTAGATTGAATTCTTCCATTTAGGTATTTCCCCACATGGAGAGGTGACTCCTATCTCCTATTGTGTGTGCTCTAACAAAAACAGTATAGAATCCAGGAGGAAATGGGAAAATCACAGTTATCATGATTACTTAAATGACAATTGCCATATAAGGAGAGGCAAGCGATTTCCTAGTACAATGGTGACACCTGCCTGAAGCAAGTACATTCCTTCAAAAAACATTTGGAGGATGGGTGGAGAGTTTGGTCCTGCTGCACCTTAGCACCTGACACTTGGTGGTTTTGAGTCTCCCACACTAACCAATGTCCTCATTGTAGGGTAGGTGAAATTAGACACTAGGACTAGTAAGGAAAGGGACCAGCAAGTCTTGCTAATCAAATAGAAATGATATGAGTAGCCTTTCTCTGATGTCATCTTGGTTATACAAAAAGTGGTAGCAGCTACTCTTGTAAGCCCATGTAATCTTGGATAACACCATGTGTGACAAGTTACGCTGGAGCTATTGAGTGATCCTGCCCATGTGACTTAAGCCAATGTAATATGATTCAAGTAAAGTTCAACAGCAAATACTGAACTGGAATGACTTGAGGCCCTTCACGTAGTGTTTGTGTGTAGGGAAGATCGGTCATGGGGTGTCTCCCTGGAGGTTGCTTTTTCGCTCATCCATTGCCTGCTATGATTATTCACAATAACAGTAAAGATCAGCAGAAGCCTCTGGTGGGTCTCCATGGGGCAAGATTTATCTTACATCACATTCTGTATCTCTTCTTTCAAGACTTAACAATATGAACCTTACTGTTTCTAGGCTAAACTCTTGATATATAAACCCAAGTCTTAATATGTAAAGTACTATTTATTTATTTAAGTGTATTTATTTATTTTGAGAGAGAAAGAGAGCGGGGGAGGGACAGAGAGAGAATCCCACAAGGCTCTGCATGGCCACTGTAGAGTTGGGCCTGCAGCTGGAACCCACGGAATCATGCAATCATGACCGGACCCAAAACCAGAGTCAGATGCTTGGGGCACCTGGGTGGCTCAGTCGGTTGAGTGTCCAACTTTGGCTCAGGTCATGATCCCACAATTTGTGAGTTCAAGCCCCACATGGGGCTTGCTACTGTCAGCCTATCAGCCCAGAGCCTGCTTGAGATCCTCTGTCCCCTTCTCTCTGCCCCTGCTTCACTAAAAGTCTCCCCAAAATAAATAAATATTAAAAAAGAGGCGCTCAACCAAATGAGTCACCCAGGTGCCCCAAAATATTTTTATCTTTAAAAAGAAAAGTATTTTATTCAATCTACTATTATCAGAAATCTGATTTTAGAATCGTAGCTAAGCAATTACTTCTTTATTCTACCATTATATTCACCCTCTTACGAACTTAAGTCAACCTTTTGAGGAGAAAAGTAAATCACATTAATGGAGAACTAGAGTAACATGATTTATGGCGATTGTTTTAAAGCCATGAGTGTTCTGTCCTCTGGCATTATGGTTGGATATAAACAGTGGCTCAAAGAGCATACCCTGTGAAATATATAGATCCTCTGAAGAGGATTCCCTCAGAATTTATAATCAGCCATGTGTTATGTAGAGGAGAAAAGAGCAGCGAGCTGAGGACAGAATAACACTAAGAACCTAAGTCCCCAGAAGCACAACTCTTTCGATGTTGAAGTTTGAGCCAGCGGGGGAATGTGAATTTAGTATAGAATCTGTGCAGCCTAAAATACCAAATTTAGTAGGAAAAAATAACCGTCTGAAAACTGGTTTATAATATGATGGAAAATTAAGTTGTTTCCTTACCTGTTACCTTTGAAAAAGTAGTTTTTAGATTATTTAAAATCTCAATGAGAGACCTACAGTATAAAGTAAAATGAATAAAATAGGAAGTGTTGCTTAAACATGTCAGAAACCACAAACTTCAAAATGAGAATTTAGTGGATTTATTTCAAAATGAAATTTTCTTCAAAGATAAATTTTTCAGATGGTCAAAGGACTTTATATATGGATTTTTCCATGGAAAAGGAAATAAAATTTCCAATAAGAGTGATCAATTTATATGCTTTAGAGATGTTCAACTTCATTAGTAATCAGAGAAATGAAAGTAAAACGAGAGAGAGAGAGAGAACTTACTTAATACCCATTGTATAGTTAGAGAATTCATCTTTGGATAAGCCAGTGTTTATGAGGATGTGAAATAGAAGTATAAACTTGGGAATCTATTATAGAGTGCACTTGGAATTATTAAATGAAATTAAAGTTGTCTCTATCTTAAGGTCCTGTAATATCTCTCCTGAAAATCTCACCCAGAGGAACCCTTGCACAGATTATACATGTTAAAGGATATGTGTAAAGACCTTTATTTTCATTACTGAATGTGTGAATTGTAGGCAGATAACTGTCTTATCACCTGGAAAGTAAAAAGATACAACTTGGCAAATGAATAAGAAAGAATAATATAGAGGCACAGTATCAGAAGCTTCAGTGTGCATATGTGGGTCTATCTATCTATCCTTGTATCCATGTATGTATCTATCAAGAGAATGCAATATGCATTGTTCTTAAGATGATGATTTTAAGTTTAAAATGATAACAAAATAATAGAATGAAGTTTGCTCCATAATTTCAATTATGGAAATTAAAATACACAAAACGTTATTGTGTTTTTTTTTTTCAATTTAAATATCTGTATATTCAACACATCATAGTTGCCCACTAATGTCAGCAGAAGAATGAGAGAAAAGATGAGTGATGCGGAGAAATGACATGATCTAAAATGAGAAAGGTATCTAGCACAGACCAGTAAATATAATTTTTTTGTGAACCCAGAGGGTGTGATAAACTCAACTCTCCATTCCAATTGATAACCAAATATGGGAGAGGGCAGATGCCAGCCAAAACCCTCTTCAAAACACCTACATTTTGGAGAGAATGCTAACTAGTAGAGGCTTTTAGTGTCTCAATTCAAGTTATTAATTAATTTGGGGACTGCGATACTAAAATAAGTTGAAAGAGGAAGTTTGTATATTTCCAAGCATATAACTGTCTTAAAACGGGCAAATGCAATGATAATAAAGTGGCAGCTTTTATTTTTATTGAGCTCTAAAGTTTTTTTTTGAAGATACCTTAGAGGATAAGTGGACGAAACTATGGTACCCTCTTTAAATAAGGCACTTACTTATATATTTGGTGTCTTAAAATTTCTACTGATGCAAGAATACATCATTAAAAAATCATCACAATTTTATGTTTTATTAAAAACAACCTCAAACATAATTTAATATAATGCTCTTGTTTTGAATTATTTACAATGGTTTTGCTGTGTTTAAAAGCTGCCATCATGAAACTTTCATATTTTATTTCATAAAGAAAATAAAGGTAGAAGGGAGGATTTGCTTGTTTTTCGGGTGTGGAGTTTGGTGAGTTCCTTATAGATTTTGGATATTAAACCTTTATCTGATATGTCATTTGCAACTATCTTTTCCCATTCCGTTGGTTGCCTATTAGTTTTCTGGGTTGTTTCC